GAGAAATTTCAAAAAATGCCACTTTTCAAGTGTCACTTTACAAAAATGCCACACTTTTGAAATCTTTACAAAAATGCCACTTTTTCAAAATTATTTTTTCTTTATATTATTTATGTTTGGGTTAATTATGTTCTATTAGGATTTAGTTTTGAGTGTTTAGGGGGTTTTAGGTGTCAAAACATTTTTTAGGGTTTAGAATTTTATGGATATAGGTTTTATAAATCTATAATTAGTGGCATTTTTGTAAATAGACATCCCTAAGTGGCATTATTGCAAATGTGCACACAAAAATGACATTTTTGTAATTGTCCCATATATATATTAGTTTGTTTAAAATATATTATTTGATAGACAAAAATGAAGATTTAGTGAAATAAAAAACCATTTTTTATGAAATCTAATATTTTATGAGATTGTATGATTGAAAAGTAAAAATTTTAATTAATTTTTTTTCATAATTTTTTTCACATGTATTGTTGTTAAAAATCATATATTTAAAAAAAATATTTATGCTTAATGTTAGTAAATTATTTTTTGTATGGGACCCCAGAAATCTCAGATGTCCGGCTATGGAGATGCTGAAGTATTTGCTAAAATAAAATTAAGATATCATTAGATAAAGTTGTAAGTTTGCATAAATAATTAATAAGTCGCATTTTTTAAAAAATCGAACCAAACTTCTTGGTATAAAATTATTAATTAATCTTTAATCGACTATTGGGTCAAGAAGATTTTCACATAAAAAAATTGTTTTAAAGTATACTTTTTTTCTTACAAACTTTGAGTTCGGTTTGGATAATTTGATATATAAGTTTACAGTGCATGAACTATAATAAATCTTGGTTTAGAGTTTACATGATAAAATTCGGTTCGGTTTTCTTCTTATCATTAAGCGCCCCTAAATTATTGGGCCAATAATGTGATCTCAATCTAATAATTAACTATAGAACAAGGGAATGATCCAAACGCAACGGGCTTTATACCCGATATTTCACCCGACCCGGCTTGTTGGGTATGGGTCCATCGTTTTCAATTGGTTTCATATATTTGTTTTCTTCCCCAAACATTTTTCTTTTTAACTTTCAAGTCCTCCCAACAAGAGGCGACGCAATTCTAACTGTCGAGCTTTCCTTTCTCGATCGGAAAAACTCTTTGTTCCGGTCACAACGTCCGACTCTTCTTCTTCGTCGGAGAAATCCTGATCGATCACAATTGTCGAATTTTGACATTTGAAATTCTGGGTTTTTGTTTTTTGTTTGAGCTGATCGATTTTTGAATGGCTTCTTCAAGCCTGGGGAGCTCAATTCCCGCTCCAGGTAACAGTTTCCAGAATCTTCAATTTCGTATTTTTCTCTCAATTGATTGGTGTTTTGTTTGATCGAAGGTTTTAGATTATGTAATTGGGTCAATGGCTATTTTTTCTGATCAAGTCTGATTTTGGACTTCATGATTAGGAGACTGAGAGAGAGAGTTAATATTTTATACTTTTTGTTGTTGCAGAGGCTGTTCAACTTCTGGTATCGTCTCTAGCTGATGATTCCTCTGTGGTTAGAGAAGCTTCCATGGCTTCTCTCAGAGATATTGCCTCACTGTATGCACCAGTTATCTCATTTACTTCATACACAAGACATTTTAAACTTATGCATGATCAGTAGATACTGAAATGTTGTGTGCTTTTCCAGGAATCCGCTTCTTGTTCTCGATTGTTGCTATGCTGTGTCACGTGGAGGACGAAGGGTAA